TATATATATATATATATATATATATATATATATATATATATATATATATATATATATATAATGGTAGTGATAATAGTGGGTAATTGCGGCCGATTACGGAGGAAGCTCGACACTACAGCATCACAGTTTGGTTGTTACAAACCACAGGACATCGATTCTACAATTAACTAAATTGAAATTTCGCACTCGAAATAAGGAAAATCGCCATAGTAGCTAAGTATTAAAGAAGAGAAAAGCATTTTGGGACACTCCATTTTTCAAGCCAAATGTTAGGGTTTAAAATGCTCAGTTATAATCCTCTTTACACAGCGCTATATTCTGTAATATTATGATATCTGATAGTTGAAATTAAAGAAATGTCACCAGCTGAAATTTTTCTCAGAAAATTGGATGCTCGGACCAAACTATCGATTTAGCAGATAACCTGGAAGATAAACAGGAATGACATAAATGAAAAGAACTTGCCATGCGGATCGCCCCTAACATAGCCAAAACTTACATCACTTCATTGTTGCGAATAATCTTCACCGCTACATGTGTATTACTTCGTGCTGCATCTGTAGCGCGTACAACATTACCAAATACTCCTGCACCAGTATAGCCATAAACGCGGTACCGGTTATCAAGCATCTCACCAATACGAATCCCTGTAAAGGCAAAATTCTTGGACGAACATAATTCACTCAACTTTCCGATTTAATAATTCGGAACACACGACCTCGCATTTGACATGCCACATTCACTATACAATTTTAGAAAAAAAAAAAAAACCAATATCATTTCGGGAATATATTAAGAGAAACGTCAGATAGGATTCTCTTGAGACAGATAGGATTCTACATCGATCCACCGAAAGGTGGTAACAATATTATTAAACTACTATCCTTGATTAACATAACTACTAAATTATCAGCAGCCTTGCATTAAAAAATTGCAGAATTCAAATGAATTAAATCGACTAAAAAACTTTAGCAAAACTAACTATAATAACCATCGGTGTCATCCCAGTTATCCTTCAACGAAGCATTGGCCGGTTCTTGTCCAGAAACTATTATTGCAGCTTTGTTTAATACCTAGAATATATTCTAGCAAGCCATTACAAAACATCATCGTTCTTAAAAACTCCTATTAAATTTGCTTTTCAGAGCATCCATAGCAGAAAGAATGCAAAAGAAAGACCTCAGGAGGAAGTTCGGCATCCGTTGCAAACATATCAAATGTAGTAGTAATGCAGTCCTCGACCATTTTATTCTCTATCTCCTGTTTGGTGTCCTCTCCACGTTGTCTTCGTAGTTCTTCCGCTTCCTCTTCTACTGCTTTCCTCAATGCACGATCAACAGCAGACTCTTCTTGGCCCTAAGTGAAATAAAGATGACAAAATAATTGAATAAAGAAAATTGTTAGCCAAATTTCAACCATTAAAAAACAAATTTCTTTCAACGTAAAAACTCCAAACAAACCTTGATATGAACCATTTTCTCTTTTAAATCACCATAGAAATCTGCAGGTGTATCCTCGCCAGCCGGTGAAATTGGACTACTGGAGCAAGATACATCACTGTCATGCTTCTTCTGGAGCTCCTCTTCAGCTTCTCGCAGTAGCTGTTCATCAGCTGATTGGCTTGATGTTTCATCATCAGACTTCTCAAAATTCTCTTGTTTAATACTGTCTGCATTGAAATCTGTTTTTCCGCGCTTATCTTCATCCAATGGTATCTCATCGAAATCAGTTTTCGCTCTAAAAAAGTCATACCTTCACTAATCACAATTCACATTTTTTTTTAAATGAAAATGCTAACAAAATCTCACCTTGGTTGTTCCTTCTCATCATTCTGCTTTTCAATATTTTTATGATTTGCTGACGACGTTTTCGGAGCTCCTGAATTTTCTTTTCTTCTTTTTCATCAGGATCTTCCCATTCAATCGAACTAACACTATCTTCCCGACGATGGTGGTCTCTTTTCTGGTCCCTGAATGCAGCTAATTATGAGTGATGTCAAAAAATTAACTATTTCGGAATCGATAAAAAACTTATCCTAAGAGCTTGAATTCTCGAAGACATTTAAGGAGATGATAAATTCATGGATAATGACAAAGTATTTCCACAACGTCGTAGGCTAAAACTACTATTGAACTTGTTTGTAAACTCACCTCTGAACTTTAGTTTCAGATTTTGAGGTGTCATCGCGTCGACTTTGACTTTTCCCGCTAGAATCTCGTCGAGATTCATTTTTCACTTTGTCACCATGTCGATCCTTTGATTTAGCTTTTTCATGTCCTTCGTGCTCTCGAGATGATTCCTTACGACGTCTCAATTCAGGGCGAGAACGATCCCGCGATCTGCTTCGACGAGAACGATCTCTAGATCTACTTCGACGAGGGCGGTCTCTAGATCTGCTTCGACGAGAGCGATCTCTAGATCTGCTTCGGCGAAAATGGTCGCGTGATCGGCTCCTTTCACGTCCAGCTCGATCCCTTGACCTTGAACCGTCTCTTCGCAACCGTTCCTTAGATCTGAAGTAGCAAAAAGCGGTGGTGCTGAGAAAGTTTGATACAAAAAAAACCTGTAATAAAATGCCGAAGATTTAATGCCATTAAAGATCTACTTTCAGGTGAAAGTATTGCAGAAAATTTTCCTTGAACCTCGAGATTAAAAGAATGTAAAAAGACTCACCTAGATCTGGAACGTGGAACACGCCGTCCTGGTGAACGAGAACGTCTGTCGGAACGTCTCTCACGATTACGATCTCGCTCGCGTCCTGCGCGACCAGATCTTGAGCTACTTCTACGTCTGTCATCTCTGGATCTTGACACACTACGCCGAACTCTATGGTCGTGTGACTCCGATCCCCGTTCCTCTGTTTTTTCATTATATCCACGCCGTTTGTCGACGGAACGACTACGGCGTCTAACGTCGGTTGATCGATCCGCATCAGTTCGTTTCTTCGAACTTAGTTCATTCTCTTTTCGCCTCTCGCGGTCATTTTTACGCTCAGACGATAAAAGGTGTTCATCATTATCAGCTTTTTTGGTGCTTTCACTATTCTCGACAGATTTCCTTTTTGCTCCTTCTAGTTCCCTTTTCTTGCCATCATGTTTTTCTTTTACCACCCCCTTCTCATTTTTCAAATTCATATCTTCCAACACTTTATCGGTCTCCACCTTATCTTCCTTATTTTGTCCATCGTTCTTCAGGATCTCTTCAATCTCTCTCCTTCTTCGCTTTGCCAGTTCATATTGCTCAGAATGTTTCAGATGTTCGCGTGAATGCGTACGCTTTCGTCCTCTTTCTGGTGATGGACTTACTTTTTTTGCCAATTTTTCACTTGCTGAGGTTTTATCAACTGGTTTTTCGGCTCCATTTTTGGCCAAGACTTTTTTTACTAACTTCTCTGCTGCAGCACCATCATCTGATTTCTCAGTTCCATTGCTAGCAGACAATACATCAATTTTTGAAGATATCTGTTTGCTTTCATCATGCTTACTTTCCCCTCTGCCGAGGGAAGATGAGCTATCGCTGTCAGATCCTGATATTTTACCAGTCTGTTCACCTGAATTACCTGGAACAGTGACATATTTGGATTATGAATAAAAAGATTACGGGCGTAGAACTTTGCCAATTCCGCTATTCCCTTTGAAGAGGTATGAATTTACACATGAATGTAGGTCGAAGTCATTATATTATCATTTTTTCAGAGAGAAAACTGTTCTTTAGGGTGGAATGGGATTCAATAACAATCACTGATAATCGAACCAAACATGAACTAAAGGAAATCACCACTAGAAGCTTTTTATAAAACGCACAAGTTGTGCTGCGAATAATCCTAAGAAAATTCATTAAGCTTATAACCTTTGCTTTTCTTTTCATCTTCTTTCTGCAGTTTTTTCTCTAGTACTTCCTTCTGTTTTTCTAGTTCATCAAGTTCAACATCACTGAATTCCTTATCGCCGTCTGCTTTCTTTTTTTTCTTACTTTTCTTATGTTTCTTTATCTGCAATAATTCCATTCATTGACACTCCCCAAATAAACTGTAAAGCTCTTAGGTTATTTTAAACCCTATTGTTATTCATCGAATAACAATAGGGCTTAAAATATTATACTGGAATGCTCGCCCAAACAAACTTTAGTCTCTGATAAATTTGATGGAATTTATTCGATGGAATTCACTAAAATTTATTTCGTAAATCTAAAGCTCAAAAACCTGAGCCACTGAAATCAGAATTTGAAAATTCGAAGGAAACAAACTTTTCTATCTTTCCTTTTCTTATGATGATGCCTTTTGTGTTCCTCGTCATAACTGGAATCGTTATGCTTATGTTTATGTTTGTGCTTCTTCTTCATTTTCTTCTTTTCGTTGCTGTCATCAGTTTCACAAACAACAGTTTTGACTGCATCATTCATGTCATCGGAAGTATTCAACTCCATCTCGACGGTGGTATTTTCTGCATCCATTACTACAGCCATCTGATGAATAAATTTAGTTACTGTGGACAAATCAATGACATGAACATACGATCTGAGAGAAGCAATTCACAACGCTGGTATGAAACAAATAAAATGAACCGAACTGATCAAAGCGGAACAACTGTTATTCGCTGATCAGACTGAACTAATTGAATCAATCCTTATCTGCTGATCCAAGATGTCTAACACAAATCTGTTTTCAGTTTTAGTTTGCTAATCAGTTTTTGCAACAATAATTCTGGCAATTCCGGAACAGCTTCTCATGATACTTTAATGCCTAAAACTTAGCAGTTTCTGATATATCAAAGTTCAAAACCTGCCAAATGCAAAATCGAAATTTAGAGCTTGCAAAAACATAAAAGTGAACGCAAACAACGTGGCTAGTAAACAGCAACTTTCCCCCATAAAAAAATATGCAGCAGAAAACTTCACTCGGGTCATTTATCATTATTACTCTAATCAGGTTAAGCAGTAAAAAGAAAATGAAGCAGCAAATTCTTTCCAACTTTTCAGTGTTTCAACCTAACCGGATGCTCCATCAAATATCATATTTTTTGATCATTTAGCCATTTGTGCATCACGTGTGTCCAAATTAAATGACAACACGATCACACGCTGAATACGGTCATGTCTACTGCCTTCCTTTCATTTCAGTAACTCAAATCTGCTGGGTTAAGGCTTAATAAATGAGGAAGAAAAACAAATGCACATTAATACAGACAGCATATGATCAAAATGCTGTCATGGTGACAACAAAAATAAAGGAAAAAGGGAAGAAAACGCTTGCATACATACACCTTATGTGCTGCATTTCCCTTAGTTCCACCTCGAATTATGATACCAACAACAAACACGGCCGGCCGTCAATTTAGAACGCGTCCTTTGCTTCTGAAAGCTCTTTTTGTTTATTTTCTTCGTTTACACATGCATGAATGGTTGATTTTTACGTAAGTGAGAAACATTTTCATGCATATGTACAATTTCATCGTTTGTTTTGAACAAATCCTGACAGTTAACAGGTATAAACAAGTAACAAGGAAGAAAAAACATTACAGTACGTTTTTGTTTCCTTCTTAGAAAGTATTTTACAGTTTAAACTCTAAAATTTCTGTCCGACTGAAATAATGTTTTCTAAATATAAAAAGTTCTTTCTTCTATTACAAAAATTTAATGAAACCTAAAAATTAAAGCAAATTGAGAAGGCTGCTGTAGTAATGTCCGCTTGATAAAATCAGTAATGACAACAACAACAACTACTACAACAAGAACAACAACAGTTCGATAGGTGCTTACGGTGATGACCGAGCAGTCATATGATAACGTCAGGTGATTCATCTGAAAATTCGATAATTAAAAAAGAAAAACATCATCGTATCACGGATTCACTTACGTACGTTACTTTAATCACTAATTGACTGGGAAAGCTATATAAGCTCCATGATAATTTTGTATAATGTCATAATTCTTGTCACACCACTTAAAATTCCCTCACATGATTACCGGGGGTTTTTACAAAAATTGATTACTAAGATACCCTTCCATATCATGCGGGACAAAATGAATCTGACAATACATTCAATCAACGCGAATTTCTCCATCAAAAAAAGAATTCATATTTTGGTGACATTATGTCACTAAAAGTATCATGCTGAAACAAACAAGATATCGCAAAATGAAACCTTCCGTGTTTGTCCGTTCGAATTAATAATAAAAAATAACCAAATTCATAGCAACTTTTTCAATTTATTAATCTTCGGGAAGAGTAAGCAAGCAACATCACCATAGCCCATTGCCTACCACAACCTGAATTTAGAAAAGTACCGGAACACAAGTACAACTACCATACAATCAGCACAGTCTGAAAATATCTTCCCAGCTAACTACGGTGAAAAAGCTCAACATCAAATATCAAATTTTTTTATTCTTATTAGAAGGCTGAACAGCAAAATAACAGGCAGAAGTCTTGCAAAAGTGGAGTGCGAAGAAGCAAAGATGACTATTAAAAAAAAAATAAATTTGCATCTTTTTAGGATATCTAAGGAAACATATCAGCTACTGTTCCAACAATCTCTGCACTGCTTTGTTATTCGAAATATTTCGCCTAGTTGGACTTTCCAATCGATCCAAATTGTTTTGTTACTGCACAATAGTACATCCTTGCCTGCCTGCTACTTTCTGCACTTCTCTAAATTTCTTTTTTTTTGGAACTATAAAAAAAGTTTAGCAGATCAGAAAAAGTCTATAAGTCCAGCTGAATTTATAAGTCGTTCGCAAAGAACAAAAATAAAAAAAAGAAATTTCAACATTTTGAACAACGGCGCCATGTCTATTCAATTGCTTCCTGCCGAAAGATTGAAAGAATGAAAAAAAAACAGGATTTACGAATTTGTCGATAATTCCTACAGATAATGGCTAATGAAAGCAAAGATGGATGGTGATGCACAACCAATAGCGTATGACAAAGCATCTCCAAAGTTGATAAGAAGTTAGCCGTCAGCGAAACCAATCATCAGATTAAAATCAAACAGGTAGGCATGAAAACTAACAGAAAAACTAACTGAAACTAGCAATTTTTCAAAAATCATGGACAACAAAACTTTTAGACTTACGCGATCATGATATTTGTTTGTCTGGAGATCAAGTTGTTCATTATCCTGCTTAGAAAGTAAAATTATCACAATAACACAAAAGTACTTGTTAAATTTCTAATAGTTCTTTGCTTTAATCATGAAAATTATCGAGCAGTTTTGGTTGACTAAACAAACGACTGTGATGATGGGAAAGCTCTCAAGCGATAACTTGATAAAGATTCGGAAACTTTTCTCATTGATTCACTATCGTTCAATGACATTCGATGCGTTCCTGAAAACCTAACAATAAAAAGTTTTCTACAACAACTAAGACGCAACTGGATTTTATCAAGCCTTCTGACTAGGAAATCAGTGAAGAAAATTAGAAAGAACGAAAATCCTGTAACACAAACCAAAAGAAGAAGAGAAGAGGGAGAGAAAGGAAAACCGAGCGCGAGAGGGAAAAAAAATACAAGTCCTATTTCTAGAAGGGAAAAAAATTCAGTCCAACCATTTTTAAAATTAAATAACATCTTGAAAGTTTTAGAATGAAAAGGTAAAATCAAAATGCGCAGAAAACATTCACAAACCATCTAAATAAAAGAGTAATAACATCAAGATCACGAGTTCAAGTTACCGAATGGGAACGAATTTTCTGAATAATTCGGTTAACGGTCAAACCGGTTAACAACTAGTTGCATTGCTGGATACACCATGAGGAAAGAGACTTGGCACCTACCGCCTTCATCGTCCACCAAATCCCACGGACCATATCCGCAACAAGAATCCAGCCACCGGTAACACCTTACAAAACGCAGCCCTAGCAATGTCTTTTCTGGACTGAATGCAAAAGAAGCAACCCTGACATCTAAAAATTTTCAGTGGAGCAATAAAAATGTGTGACAATTTGAAATTAGTGAATTTTGGTGCTGACACAATGCTGGTATAATATTTTTAGGTTCGAAGTTGAAAACTCGGAAAATATTATGTCCACACACTGTTTACGTACATTACTTTATGTGCTGAAATTTATTTACCAGATTTCAAAATTTTTGAATAGCGGAATCCGAAAAGATCAGGAAAAACTTGGTACAAAATAAATATAGCTTCGTTAATTGATGGAATTTGCAGCCGAAATAATCGAATCAGAGCGGAGTAAACCACAACATTAGTGGTCCAATTCATTTTGTAAAATTTAAAAAATTTTTTCCATTTAAAGAAAATGTCGTGAGTATTCCATTATTAACGAAGCTATCGTCATTCAACGATGGCTCTGTTAATAATCGCATATTCACTCTCGATAACAATTTTTCCGGGACATGAGTCAGCAATGATTTTGTGGAAGATAGGTAGATTTACTTGAGATGCTATTTTCGAAATATTCGAGACTCGTTTTACAAGGAAAAATGTCATAGTAGTTTATCGCAAAAGTATGGTTAAAGTACCTCATACTGATGTGAGGATGATAAGGAATTATTTCGTCACTGGAAATTTCATTATCAAATTAAAAAGAAAAAAGACGGCTAAAACTAGCAGATAGATGTCAAGTAATATATATGGAACAAACGAGATACATGGAACAATTTGACGGTTCACACTGTTAACATCTTTCAAGAAGTTAGTGGGAATCGTATCTAGTATTGCTAACATTCCTGAAACTAAATAATGGATGAATTTGGAAATCTCAGTTCTTTACATGCAGTATAGAATTGTCCAATATGTCGGGAATTTTTATTAACAAATGAAGATGCAAGTAGCAGTTAGGAAAACTTTTGTTAACTTCAACCGGAACATCTTGAAAGACATCATTACGGAAACCTTGACCGTATGTCGCGATTATACTTCAACCATAATTGAAAGCTTTTCAATTGCGTCTACAGGCCGCATTAAATTGCGTGATCGATTAGGTTAGCGTTAGATGTGTACTGCCAGATGTTATTATGATAATGATATCACGATGATAGAATAGTGTTATTATAGTGGTAGTGATTACAATAATGAAAGGTATAGTGGTACTGTTATAGTGATATTGTTGTGATGAAATAGGTTATAGTGATAACGTCATGATGTTATAATGGATTTATAGCTATAGCCTAAGCAGTGAAAGTTGATGGATTACTGTTCATATTATGGTGTCTTTAGTGAAGTACTATAGTAATAAAGGATGGAATGGTAAAGGCAGAAATAATACAAGTATGCTTAAATTTTAGTGATTAAGAATCACTAGGAGAAATGGACTTAAAAAAAAAAACGTTTTTAAAGGAAAACTTAAATTTTAATGATTAGAATAGAAACGAGTGAATGAGAAAAATAGCTTAACAGGGTTTAATTAAAATGTATTGTGTCATTCTTATACTATTGATATGACGGAAAACGGGTGTAATTGATTTGTAGAGAAATTTACGAGAAAAGACGTACCATTGAAAAGTATGCTTCCTTTCGTTTACAGTGGTGATGGCGATCGTTGTGGTAGCTATGATAATGAAAGGTATATGGTTAAATGTGACTTTTGTTGTTTTTAATGTTAAATTATGTTCTGCGTTTGATTAAATTGGTGTGTGTGGAGTATTTTTTTTTTTGGCTGAGAAAAAGAGACGAAATTCTAATATTATGATTTGCAGATAGGATGAATGTTAGTTTTGGATGAAAAGTAGATAATCTTGGCAAATACAGAAGTAACAAATTTAGTAGTACCGAATTTAAATGAGTCTGTCTTTATCATCTATCATTAGTAATCAGTGAGATGGTGTTATATTTTTGAGTTTATCTTCTAATCATGACTTTTGAAGTTATTTCTATAGAAATAGAATTTGGACATTGATTAATGAAATCATTACAGGCACAATGACAGATATCGGCGGAGTAGTTCAAGAGGTCGTTCTAGATCCCGATCATGGTCCAGAGATCGGCGACGTAAGTGGCAGTACATGGTGTTTAATTTTTATCCCGCGTTTTATATTTTCCTTTGAATTACAAATTTTTTTCATAAGTTTAAACAAGTTTAAATTCTTGCAGGTCGAAATCGTTACTCGAGATCGCGATCTTCCGGTAGAAGTCGTAGTAGAAGCCGTAGTCGCAGTCGCAGTTGTAGCCGTAGTAGCCATGACCGTTCGCCACGTCAGGATTTCGATCGACGACGTCGTTCAATCGATAGGGACAGAGAGGTCTTTCAACCATCCAACAACTTTTAATATATGCTTCACGTGATCACTTAAATAACGCTTCATGTGAGTTATACTGGAAAAAAGTGGTGATGCCATTTGGATACGCGAAATTGTAGCCGTTTAGGAGCCAAGAGAATTTTCAAGCGCACTGCCCTATTTATCTTCCATGCAAGCCCAATCACAAACTGATAAATATGCATCACATACGGCGCTTTATGGACAACCACATTACAAAATTGTCATGAAAATGTTACCGATCGATTCTCAACGAGATGCGGTAAGGTTTTCTTATTAACTTTCATCGCTTTATCATTCTAATAACTGTCCGAATTATTGATATTAGCAGTATTTAGATTTATTTTACTTACTTTTGTCCGGAGTTGGCCAGGCATTAGTTCTATTTAGCAGTTTCTTGAGATCAAGCGACAAATAAGGTGTGAATTAATTTTAAAATCAGTGTTGAAATCAGTGTTACCTGTTAATATTGGAGCTACTAACAGATTGTAAGAAATTTATTTCGATTTCCTTACTGTGCGCTTATAACAGTAACACTTTTACGAACTCCTCAGTTTTTATGTCAAATTTAGTTGTTTCTCTGAAATGTATTTCCCATAATTTTTAGTTAATGGCACTTACAGCGCGTCAAGGCTTTCGGGTCAAGGATATTCGTATAATTCATAAAGGTAATTGTCATTCTCTTCTATACTGTCATCATTTTTAATTTTTGCTGCGTCGCTTTACTAATATTATGTTTTGTTTGAGTTTTTATTTTGTTTATATCATTTAATTACTTGCAACAGTTTTTTGTTCGTTTATCAGATGATTTCTTTTCGTTCTTCTTCGTAACTTCTACCAATAATCGGCTGCCTATTACGTGAATATGTAGAGTAATTTTGTAGAAAATTTTGGTGAAAATTCGTACTTTTCGTAGAAGGTTTCAATTTACTTAAAATGCTGTCGGATCCATAAAGTGATCTTATTAATTAATACTTCGAGATGATAGTATCGTCGATTCTGATTCCTGCAAAAGATGCAGGGAATTGCTGCATTCAGGGGGAAATTAATACGGGTGATTGATTGGGTGATTGGCTGAACCGGAGATTCTCTCCAAATTATCGGCACTTATCTCTACCTAGAGCGTAAAGATAGGTTGGGATAAAGATGTAAACGTATCCTGTATTTGATATATATGTTGTTTACCTTTATTAGAAACATTAGTCGAGAAATAGATAATAAGCACTGTCGTGACATTGCATCCAGACGAAGGGAAGTATCGTGGATTCTAAATCCAGAATCTTTCATTGTCATTAACTTGTTGCAATTAACTACAGGTCCAGACCGTTGTTTCGGATTCGTGGAATTCGGAGATGTGAATAGCGCACAAGCTTGGATGGAATACAACAAGGTCGAACACTGTATATATAATTTTTATCCGTAGGAAAACTGCAGGTTTTTATCCCCCTTAGCGAGTGTCCAAGACCTAGTTTTGAAATTTATGAAGGTGCAGGGGTGATAGTTCCATTACTATCAGGATTCAGTTCCGGGAGAAAATCCTGGAAACACATTTGAAACATTTACTCGCTTATTACGAATTCCAGGATCGGTTAACGTTTCACACGTTGAACGACCATTTTCAGCATTTTTCATCCCGTGGGTATCGTCGTACCCATCACTTTTATCCCTTCCGTAAATTTCTGAACGACGGCTAATAACTGTATCCTGACCAATGTGTCAAATGCGTGAAAGTAGAAACCGCGTAAATCGTGTTTCAGGTCATACGGTTGTATTCATTTCCATTTTTAAGTGGTTTCACTTTTTTCAGGGAACTTTATTGTTGGATGATGGACGACCAGTTAAATTAGAATATTCACGTTATGATAGCCTGGATGGGCGATCATCGGGTCTGTCTGGTTCAGGCGATTGGATGTGTGCAAAGGTACATTTTTATGTGATGTGTAGCATATATTTCTTACTATTTCATGTTTTCCCCAAAAATTCGATTTCAAAAATTCTGGATTTTCATATGCATTGAAAACGCTTTGTTTTGCAGTGCACCATAAAAAATTTTAAAAACCGTGGAGCATGTTTCAAATGCAATTTAACGCGAATGGAATCAGATGGTTTGACCAGAAAGGGTTACGCAGCGATTGGTGTCGCGAAGTGTGATAGTGAGTTTTTCCACTATTTTTGCATAGCTGTATGGGAATATTTTTTGTTTGTTAATTATGAAAGCTTCCGGAATCGAATTCTAAACGAAATTCAAGCTTGAATTCAGATTTTGGAACATAATGTTAACTTTGGGATGTAGTGTTAAATTTGAAATGGAAAAGGAAAAACAATAAAATCATGTTTTAGCTTTATGAATAGACTGTTTTTAGCTCTTCTACTACGTGAAATACCGCTAAATTGTACAGAAGCGAAAATTCAAGCAGAAATGAATCGAATATCTTCACTGGATGTTTTACGTGTTCATATTGCTGAGTCTGGTCTTTATGCCTACGTCCAAATGCGTAGTGCTGATGATGCAGAACGAATTATGCTAACACTGAACAAGATACCCTTACTTATCGATGGTTGTGCAGGTAAACTTTTCGTATATTTCTTCATCTAATAAAAAACAGTGAAAATGTTTGTCGTAACTGATATGGCTTCGGATTTTTTCATAATGCATGCATTACATATCATGGTATGTTTTTTGTAGTTACTTTTGCTTTTTCAATATCTTATTTGGTTTGAATTGAAAACCGAAAACTATATAAATTTCAGTAATGGTTACTTATTCGAGATTACCATTGAATACGGTATTGTCAACAACAGCAGCAACCGAATCAATGCAGAAAACGGCCGAACGTATTAACCAGATGCCTGCTTTTAGGCCAACAGCTGGACCAAGTAATAGTTCAATAGCTGATGCTTCGATTTTTCAAAAAGATCTTAAGATGTGAATGTTTCCCAGTCCATAATCTGTTCCATACTTAAGCTGTTATACTTGTCAGTTCCAGATCTAAACTGTTATGATAT